GGTCAGATGTTTATAGAATTGAAACAAGCTTTTACAGATATTACAATACTGAATCACTTTAATCTCCATGATCCTCAATCAGTGTGAGACTGATATATTTAGAAATGAAGTCTATGAAATCTTTTTACAGTTGACATTGAAGATCTTTTAATATTAAAAGAATCAGAGAATAATTATCTCTGAGAATATAGATAATAAATTATCTGTAAGAGAAGACTTTTTCACAGAGTCTATAAGATACTGTGAATGAAGATTAGTAATCTTCTTCTTTAAGAAGTTATCACTCACACAGAGAAGATATGATACTCATGATTGAAAGATGTTAATAATTTTTAAATTCTTTAAGATCTGATAATATTATCTTCAGAGTAGTAAGTATTCAGTGTAAGTTCTCACTGATTATATAAATCTGTATTACTTCTTAATAATAAAGAGCTTGATAGAATGTTAAGTCAGATGAGTGAAGCTGCTTTCAGAGTATAATTTCTATATCTGATATTATTCAGATCAGCTTAACTCTGCTAATACACTGTCTAGATAATCTGATTATAATATTATTAATACAGAGAAGAATTCTATAAAAGAATCTCTGTCATTACTGCAGAAGAAGCTGACTACAGAGAATTGAGATTCTCTGAAGCTCAGAAACAGTGTTAATAAGATAGCTGTATAACTCAGTATAAAAGATGAAAGAAAATCTGAATCTCTGTAGAGAACTGACACTGAAGATTATAAACTTCTTATATTATATCTTATAATCATTGAATTAGCAAAGAATGAAATAATCTATAATCTTTCAACTCAACTACTTTTAAAATTTATTAATAAGTTATAGAAGAGAGATATCTCTACTGCAGCTTAAATTCAGAAGTTAAAGAAGAAAGAATTCAGTTTAAACTTGAAAGAGACAGACTCTGAGTAAGATAATACTACTAAGAAACTAAGTTACTGATAACTAGAAGAATATAAACTTCTACTACTAAATAATTCAGTCTTCATCTCTTATAGCAGAGTGATATATCAGAAGTTATTAAGAATTCATTATAATAATTCTTATACAGAGCACTTCAGATTAGAGAAGACTGAGAAGCTTCTAAAATATAAATATATTTAAGACAAGCTCTGAGCAGATATCAAAGAGTATATTAAGACTTATAATATCTGTTAAAGAATAAAAATCTCACAGTATAAGTAATACAGTGAGTTAATATCACTGTCTGTTTCAAAGAGCTTATAATAGAATCTATTAATGAATTTCATAGTTAATCTGCTAAAGTTGATAAGAGTCAAAGAATATAACTTAATTTTAGTCATTATTAACTACTTTATAAAGATGATCAGATATATCTCTACTTATAAAAAGATTAAAGCCTCTGAATTAACTGATCTATTTTTAGATATTATTATTTATAATCATAGTGCTTTGAAATCATTGATGATAGATTAAGAATTTCTCTTCATTAGTAAATACTGATCAGCTTTTTACTATTATCTTATAATAAGATATCTTCTCAGTACTGCTTTTTATTCACAGACAGATAATCAGACTGAATATCAGAATCAGATACTAGAACAGTATCTTTAAGTATTCTATTTATATTATTAGAATGATTGACTCAAACATCTTCTGACTACTGAATTCATATATAATAATATAAAGAATGTAATCTTAAAGATATCTTCTTTCTATACTTATTATAAATATAATTCTTTATTATTCAGTGACATCACAGATGATATTTGCCCCGGTGGCCGAATGATTAATGCGGCCACCCGGTAGCGCCTTGGCGTGGGAAACCAGGGTGTGTGAGTTCGAAACCCGCAGGGAATACATTAAATCCGGAACTCAAGCACCTCAGGTTTCTAATAAATACAGAGGTGTACAAATCGCTCCAATGAATCGCTCTATGTTTCTGGGCTGGGAAGTTATTATCGCATGTATCTAATTGTCACTTCTTTGTATTTCCTATGTTCTTGTTATCTTGATGTGATCTCAACACCTGTATTTCCTCCTGTATAATCAACACTTGGCCTGTATTTAACATCATGCAAGAACTCATTATAAGCTCTGCTTGCATATGAGTATAATGAAAGAATAATAATAATAATAATAACAGATAATATTTTAAAAGAGAAAATAAACAGTTAGAATATTAAACAGATACAGAGAATAGAGTATTTCTCAGTATTAAAAGTAAAAGTGAGATTGAAACTTTTGAATAAAATTTATAAGAAGATAATAAAAAGTATTCATCATACTCAGAAGTAGTAGATAAAATACTATAATTGAAAATATCTTTCAATGAAGTTCTTAATAGAGAATTAAGTACTACTTTCAGTAAAGAATATCAAGATAATAAGATTATATAAAAAGCTCAGTGAGTAATGACTAGAATCTTTCTCAGTAATAAAAGTAATAAGTAAGCAGATATATAAGTTGAAATTACTTATAGAATTGAAATCAATTCATTCTATTGTTTATATTTTCTATTTAAAGCTCTATAAGTAATACTCTGAGACAGAGTCATCTTAACTGAATAGTATTAAGATTAAGAATAATACTGAATATCTTATGAAGAAAATATTGAATAAGTAAATATATTATAGTAAGCTTTAATATCTTATAAAATAAGAAGATTATTTATTATCAGAGAATTTATAAGAATTACTTAAGTATTTAAAAAATACTGAGAAAGAGATTATAAGCTATGAGATAGCTAGTAGAGATCACTTTGTTACACACTAGAGATATTAAGTAAGAAATACTACTTAAGACTTCTTATTTTTTCTTAAAGAGTTTTTAGAGATAATCTTATAATAATAAGTTAGTATCTTATAAGCTCTGTAACACTCTTCTTCTATTTTCTCTCAAAGAGTTTTTTAGAAGTTTAATGAGACTATACAAGTGTAAAATTTCTGAAGCAGTTAGAGAAAAGAAATATTTGAAATTAATAAAAAGATTAATATTATTAACTCACAGATTACTGCTATTCTAATAGAGTTACAGCTCACTGAAAAAGTAAAAAGAGAGATCAGAGTCTACTTATTAATTATTACACTCTTATCAAACTCATTCTTTATCATTGAAGTCTCTGATAATGATATCTGTATCTACTGAGAAGTTAGCACTGCAGCACTGCAGAGAAGCATACTATAGAAGAGTATAAGAAATACTTAAAGTATTAACTTATTAATTTATAAAGTATCTCAGTGATCTGCTTTAATTAAAGTAAGATTCTCTTTAATCAGTGATTAATCTTTACAGTACTTTCAATAGTGATACTAACTGATCTCTTCTTAAGATCAGTTATTCTGAGATGTTTTTTTATCTTAAAGATTCACACTTTCATCTTCTTTTACAGATAAGTAAGAGAGATCTTCTCAGTCTTAACAGAATCTATTAATACTTAAAGCTCTGAGACTCTTACTCTGTACTGCTTAAGTATCTGAGCTTCTTATCAGAGCTGATATAATGTCTTTCTAAGAAGTAATACTTACAGAGAGATAGAAATTGTTATTACAGATATAACAGAAATAATAAAAGTAAGAGAAGAAATAGATGTATAAAATCCCTCTCTTCTTCAGCTGCTTAGTATAGTATAGACAAGTGATGATACTGATCAGAGATCACATCAGAGTCTTCTCATAGAAAGAAGATAAAGAAACTGCAGAACTCTGTGAACTCAACTCAGCAGTATTCTGAGCAGAACTCAGACATGTTATGAGAGAGAAACTACAGATTAAGCTTCTCAGAGTCACTGTCTTCAGAATCAAGCTCTCTCTGAAATTCTCTCTGAATGATCACACAGGGTCATACATCACTGTGTTGATTGAGAGGGAAAGTGGCGTCACAACAGTGATGAGAGGGGCAGGAGATGAATCAGACACAGATGAACTGACTGGTAGAAGAGATGACATCTCACTGCAAGGCATGGCAACTACCATCACAGCTGCAAGAGAAGTAGAAGAAGATGTGACAATGAGAGCAGTGCTTCCACGGCTCATCACTGCTGCCACCTTCAACCTGGCTTTCTTGACAGTCATGAAGGCCGCAGCCGCATCACAAAGACATTTATTACTCACTAGAAAACATCAGAATAAGTTCCTTATTATCTCTCAAGAATAATGCTTTCATGCACTCACTATTACAGATGAGAGAGAGAGAAAGAAAAATATATTACAGAGAGAGAAAATCTTTTTGAAAAAATCCTGTTACTACTGTTAGCTTTGTCTCTAAAATATATCACTTTTGCAGAGAATTTCATATATAGAATGAAATATAATAAGAGATCTGTAAGTTACTTATTAACTATGTTTTCTACATTCTAAATTAATATATAAGGAACTCACTTATCACATGTTTAATTTGAATGAAGATGAGAAAAGAAAGATTTATACAGTTAGCAGAAAAACTCATCTATTTATTTATATTATATACAGTACATGTACTGTTAAATTAATTAATAACTATTATTATATAACAAAGATAACTTCTAATTCAGTAATCTTAAGAATATAGAGACTATACTCTTAAAGAGAAGAGTATTATCACACTCTCAGTTATATTAAGACTCTGTTACAGTTTTATATAACTTATTACTTTCATACAGATAATTTTATCTTATCTGAATCAGTTTTTAATTACTCTATAATATTATTCAGATATATTATAGAAAGATCTGATTAATAAATATAAGAATCTTACTTCTATATAAGATTAGCAGATTACTCTTTCTTAATAATAAGATACTACTGAGATATTACTTCAGCTATTCTTACTTATGAAATAAAAGAAGAGTATTCACTTATTATCTATATAGAATAGCTAGATACTGACTTCTTATTAAAGAAGTCAGTGATTTATTTTTTTCTTCTACTGAAATATATACAAGAGTTACTATATATCTTATACAATTTTCTTAGTATACTAAGTATTATATCTGTAATATTCTTATAATAGCTCTGTAGTCTATAAGCTCACTATTTAAGCAAGATAGTCAAGCTCACTTATACAGCTTCTCAAACAACTATCTTTACATAATATTACTGACTAGTCACTGCTTCAGACATGTTATAATACACTAATCTTATACATTTCTTAACATGAATCTCACTGAAACTAATCATTAAATAAACATGCAAAGTGACTATATATCAGATCTCAAAATAAAATCATGACTTGAAAAAAATAAGAAAGTAATTTTATTTAATTTCATTTAGTCTTATTCTTAGTATAAAGTTACTATTTGTAGATATTTTAATTTTTTTTAAACTATTTTAAATTTTTTAAAAAGTAATACTTTTTAATAATACTTAAATAAGATTTAGAGTCATTTAAAGCAATAAAAATAATTTAAATTAAGAAGTAAAAATTATAATCTTATTTGAAAAATATAATAAGAGTAGACAGTAAGTCTCACTGAGACAGTATAAGACTACTATCTAATATTAGAACTGTGTAATAAAATCTGTTAAATTAGTAATAAAACTATTAAAATTCTGATTCTGACCCCAGACATGATTATATAGTTAGTTTAGTTAATACAATCTTTAACTATTCTACAGATTATAGCTCAGACAGTATATTCTTCTTTTTAAAATATTATATTAACATTTTTTTTTAATGAGAGTAGTTTTTCTTTTTTAAAAAGACTCTTACTTTTTATTAGATATATTTCATTTTCTCTGAATCTACTACTCAGTAGATTTCTATACTTTTGAAAAAGTACATTCTCTATTGTGAAGAATATCACTTTTTTTTTACATATCTAGAAGAAGCAGAGTTATCTTAATATAAGTGATACATCTGTTACTTCAGAGTTTAGCTCAAGACTCAGAATCACTTACTCTACTAGATAACTTATTAATAGAATAATTACTTATTATAAGAAGATTTCTGACTTATAAGATAAGACTGAGATCAGTTTTTATCAGAGTATGAAATTTAGTAATGAGATAATAGAGAAACTTCAGAATAAAGAAAAGCAGAGTTAATACTTATCTACAGAATCTGTTTATTTTAACTTAATAAATTCTTTATCATTTCTCATCTTTAAAACACTAACTTTTAATGATAATCTGAAGCAATCTATCTATTGTATTACAGGTAATTTTATAAATCTTATACAGATAATACGCTGAAATTAAATAACTATAGCTAATATTATATAATATCTCACTATATCTGTCTTTATACAAAGAGATACTATGAGAAATGAGTTATAGAAATATCAGAAGAAAGTTAAATATATACTAAATATTAAATCAGTAACTATATTTAATAGTTCTAATTATAAAGTCTGATATATTTAAACTGGCCGCTGAAATCATGAATTTCACATTTACTTTCATTTAATTCAATCTTATACATTTTGTAAGAGGCCTACGCTGAATAGATTGATATAATATCATAGGTCTTATATAACAAAGAGAAAAACATTAGAGAAGGAAAGAAAGAGAAAGTATGAGAATCAGTGATTAAGATGAATATTTATACACATACATGATGATGTATATGATGAACCTTTGAGACAGAAGAATAGAAATTCTGTAGGTTTTCAGCCGAGAATCAGTGATCAAGAATCAGAACAGTAGAAATCTGTGAAGTGTAATAAAATAGTCTACATAATTGATCAGATGCAGCCTGTCACATTAACCCTCTCTTTTCAGAAGTGATATAGAATCGCGGGTGTGTAGTTCTCATCAGTCAAGAGCTGCTGTCTCAGATAACACAGAGCTCAGAGTTCAGATCAGGCAATTATAGCTGACTCATTTCACAAGATATTATCAGCTGCAGCTATGAGATCTCTCATTGAGAATATCTTCAATCTCTCACTTAAGTTCCTTGTCTTCTTCTATGATTTCTAATAACTGTTAATTGAAAGTTAGTTGAAAAGATAACAGGTCAGTGACAGCATGACAGAGCAAGTTCATATAAAAGATATCATGAATTTCTAATAATATATTAAGATGATAATTATAACTGTCTAGAACTTCTATCACTTTATATTTAATATGATGATAATTCAGTGTATGAGATGAGTATGTAATTTATATATTTTTAAGATTTAATCACATCAGATCTTCTGTCTTGTATTACTCAGTGAGATCTCAGTGAATATTAGTCTTGTCTTCTTAATTCTGTTTAATACTCATTATAAAGATCTCTGCTCAGTTGCAGATATTTCAGAGCTTTATCACTATATTATCAGCAATCTGAATCAGACTGTGAGAGTTCAGTGTAAAGTATGTGATCTCTAGAAGATTCAATACCTTCATATAATATTCATATATAAGAAAGAACAGGCTTATATCTGTGGAAACAGCATCTCAGTCATTAAGAGTGACTTCAGTGTGTAGAAGAAGATTATATCAATCATCTTATAAGTAATTACAGAACTTATAAAGATAATTTCTTACAGTCTGAATTGTCTGTTCTGATGCATCATCAGTCTCAGAGTGATAGACAGTTAATAAACAGTGTATAATCTTGAGAACTTGACAGATTCTTGTTCAGAGAGTGCTCATGAATTGACAGTCTTAATTTAATACTATTGTAAGAATAAGTGCTCGCAGGCGATTATTCAGGTGTTTGCAGCTTGGCGTGATATGTACTGTTAACTACTAGAAGTATTCATGATAGAAAGATAAAATATAGAAATTAAATGTATAATAGCATTCAAGCTGAGTTGTAAATAGTATTTGTGAACTTCAGTCTATATAGTTGTATATAGTCAAGAGCTGCTAACTCTATTAATTATATAAGAGATAGAAATAGAGATAAAGAATCTATAAGAAGTGACATTTCTTACATATTTCTTCCTCTCTAAGACTTTGTCTGTGAAGTCTTTCACTGAGGAATTTCATAGAATCAGCTCAGCACTGCAGTGATACTCACTAAAAATTCTGTATATTTATAAAAAATCTCAGTGAGAAAAAATCTCTTGTTATTATAAAGAGAAAAGAGTCTGTTACTCAGTTTCTTATTTCATAAGATTCTTTATAATCTGCAGATCTTTCTCTAACTATTATATAGATATGATACTCTCTGCTTCTTTAAAGAGAGAAATTGATAATTGTGACAGAATTGAATATCACAGATATTGAGAATATGAGTGTGAGTTTTCTTTATTTTTTCTTTATTAATCTCTAAATTGTGTTTATAACTCTATTTCTGTTTTCTTGTTTTTTAACTTTAATAAGAATATGATTTCTTCTTCTCTTTGCATACACTGCAGACTGTTCATCTCAGTAGAAACTCATTATCTTATAGACTAGAATTTGCAAATAACAGTGTTAATATGTTTTTCACAATCAGATTCTTAATGAAGATTATGTTATTCTGACTTATCAGAATTCACAGTATGAAAGTCATGTCTGAGCTTCTGCAGATATCTTATCTGCTCAGATGATTCTCAAGTAAACTCATTCATCTCATCAGAATACTCTTATTACTGAATCTTGAATCAGAGCTTACAATCTTGCTTCTTTGAGTCAATAATTTCTTTTATCTGATATTCTCTTTCACTCTCTAGTACTTTATAAACAGAGTGATAAGTCACAGAATTCTCTTCTAAGAATTTCTTATATTCACAGAGTAAAGAGACATGAAAAATATTATATATCTACAACTCAGATAACAGTTTCAATCTATAAAACTATAAGCTAACTTTCTTTATAATCTTACAAGACTCTGTCTATAAGAGATTCAGCTTCTTACTAGATCTCTGTATGATGATGTTTTCTAGACTCAGTCAGACTCTATTATCTTTCTTAAAACTCTTTATAATATACTTAGAGTCATAGTATCTCTTCTGATACTCTTAAGTCTTTCTTCAGAATTTACAGACTTTCTCTCAGATATTCTGAATTTTCTCAGCCTGTTCACAGACATCATCATACTCTATAGTATACTCTCGCGGGTTTATCAAGATTATTCACAGATGAGTCTTAGTGAGCATCTCAAAGAGAGTGTTATTTATGTTAACATGTGTTGAGTTGTTGTATATGAACTCTGTAAGTGATAATCAATACTAGACTGGCCGGCGGGACCATGAATTTCACATTTGGTCTCATTTGATCTGGTCTCATACATTTCTTGATGTGAGTCCCACCAGGACCAAGCCTCAAAAAAATCTGAAAATGGACCATTTCTGAGAGAAATGATGTGAAAAATGACTAGATTTAATTCAAGAACAGTGAAATGAGAGTAATTTCTCAGAATAAACTGTGAAAGATGATCATTCTTTCAAAATCAGAATAAGACTGAGACTGAAGATTAAAATCAGTCTCATTCAGTTCATTTAGTGATTGCTTATATAATCAGAATTTGATAACAATTATTGATAATACTCATGAAACAACTAAATATATTCTTGTGCAAGTTTATTCTTCACTTTCTCATGAAAACTACACTTCTCTGATATACTATGATCAGAGGTATTAAACTGTCTGATAATTCTATGTTTTACAATTATAAGTTTCTTGATTGTTTCTTCTTATAATTGTTCTCAGTAATAGTGATAAATATCTCAACTTGAGTTAAACTTTCACTTCATTCTCACCTCTGTCAATGAAATTGTCAGAATATCATGTACTATCAGTGCAACAGTTAAATATATACTCTCAACAATTTTTTATAACTCTAGAATTGATTTGATGTGTAAATTCATTGAATTATTTTGAAGATAGCAGTCAAATTCAGTTTTACAAGCATGTAGTTTTGCCTGATTTTCAGTTATAATCAATGTATGTAAGTTCTGTTTCAAAGTTAGTATTATAGTTCTATATGATATGAAGTGTTATCAAAGATTGTTACTTACTAGAGAATTGTATGTCACTGTCTTCACATCTTAAACATCTGCTTATTCAAATCTCTGATAGTTGACATTGTAGTAGTCTCAGACTAATTTAACATATGAGTCTCATTTCTTCTCTGTTCAATCTTGAGAAGTGTAGATATTAACTTGATAAGAGAGATCTAGTAGAGCTGCTATAGCATAGTACTCTGTAAAAGATTGTTCAGTTTTGCTGTAGTAATATGTTAGTTTATTTCTTACAGTAATAATAGCCTGCACTATAGTATTATCTCAGACTGAATTTCTTTTTAAGTGATTCAACTGCTTCTGAAGATGAGTAAATAAACTGTTATACACTCATCAGACTGACTGCAGCATTGATGTATGAGTGATTGAGACTGTCTTTAGTATCTTATAAAACTGAAACAGTAAATCAATCACATATTTCAACTGAGTTCACTTTATATCAGAAAGTTTCAATATCTGAATCTTTTTCTAATCAGAGTGTTATACTCAATGATTAATTATCTGACACAATTAAAGAGTCTGAACAGTTATCTTATATATTAAACTTTATCATATTCTAACATTCTGTATCATATTCAGTGATGTGACTGATTTATTCATTTATTGAATATCATGAAATCATTGTTATTGTTTAGAGAAGATACAAATTGTATTAGCAATGTTTTAAATCTGTGATATTTAAATTATTAATCAATCTATTCAAAATTAACAGTAGTATTATCAAAAAGCATTATTAAAAAGCAATATTAAAAAGTATTATCAAAAAACATTATCTTTTGTAAAGTGAATATAAAAGTTACTTAAGTAATCACTTTCATCTCATTCTCATCTCAAGAATCAGTCATCTCATTATTCTTTGTCTCAATGTTAAGATTCTTTATCACTGTTTATATCACAAGTTGAATCATATAAGCAATGCAGAGAATATGATCTTGTTTATTATTTCAGAAATGCAAAGTCAATTTTTGCTTCAAGCTCTTCATTATAGTGTAGTTATTCACAGTATTATCAGTTATAATTATAAGAAGACTGAGACTAATATCTCAATAGTCATTTTTAATCACAGTCATTAATATCTCTGCTATATAATTCTCAGTATGATTACTAATCAATGATTCAAATTCAATTAATGTCTCTTAATAAGTTCAGTTCTCATCAATATAATAACATATAACTCTTATAAATGCAAGATTGTTTATACTAGTTCATACATTCACTGTGAGAGACACTCTTTGATGATTCTTCAACTCTGATTCTAGATATTGCATATTAACTTTGTAGTATGTCTTGAGATTAGACTGAAGACAGAATTGATGTGAAATATAAAGATTTGAATTAAGTATTTAAAGAAGTGTTCAGAATTCAGGATTTTCAATTGATTAAAGAGAAAGATTCAGAGATATATATATATAAAGTAATTATTCATGAAAGTTATCAGATGAGAGTTGTGAAGTCAGAGTACTGATATATAATCATTTTCACATAATTTTCTTCAAATTAGAAAGTTAGTATTATCAAAAATTGTTATCTAATAGAGTAACTTATCAGCTCAGTAGTAATCTTCTGATTATTTTTCTTTTATTGTCTGCATTCTGATAACTTCAGATGTCAGAAAATTTCTTCAGAGCTATAATCAGTCTATGATGAATGTTTCTGAATAAAGTTACAGTAATTGTAGCAGAGAGATGACTCTTCAGTAATCTGCAATGTAATCTGTTGATAATTATTTCATAGTTCATCTTAATGTTTGTGTTGAGTTTTTTTATAAATTTCATGACCTGAAATCAGATGTGAAGAATGAAGTGATTATTCATTATAATTGAAAGAGAGCATTCTGTGTTGAATTATAAACAATATAGACTTTGTGATTCACAGTGATTTCTTGAAGAGTTTGTGAATCTTTAATAGAAGTAAAAGAAGTGAAAGAAGTGAATTCAGAAGATATAATAATAATTTAAGAAAGATGATAATTTATTTTCAATAACTGATCACTGATGTGTGTAAGAAGAATTAATATAAGAGAAAATAATCTTGTTTCTTAGCTTAGTTATAATTTTAGTACTAACTCAGATTGAATATCATTGATGTATAAAAGTAAACAAACAATCTTGATTAATCTCTACAGTCAGACAACCGCTCCACCACGAACTCGCTCGATTTTTCGAATAAGAACCCGCCGATAGATCCATCGAAAAGCCCTCAATCATACGAGCATTTTGACCCCATCGCCGACCGCATACCCCGTGTGGTGGTGGAGTTATCCAGCCAAACATGAACCAGACATCATTCGAAACTCCTGTGTGGGACTATCCCCCATTCCCCCCTACCACACCACAACCCCGGGCCAAATTGCCATACAAATTGTAAGGTGAAGAGACCTAGCCATATGCATCAATCTTCTCAATTTTGGAAGATCCCCGATCTGTAGTTGTGGAGATATCTGAGGAGCGACCTCCGCGAAAACCCTGCCCACCTTTGATGTTCCAGAACACCAACACCAAGTCCCACCCTTGTACCGCCCTTCCTAATCTGGCCCATCCCCGGCAGAAAAATACAAAAAGATACCTCAGTGATAATATCAAGCACATAATCAACAGCCACTTCTGAAGTGCAACCTCCGCGGTCTGTCTTCAGTGTATCATATCTAGACATCAATGCCAAGTCTCACCCTTGTATCATCTCTCTCAACCTGGCCCATCCCTGACAGAAAAGTACAAAAAGATACCTCAGCAACTGTACTTGATACATAATCAGCAGACATGACAACTATAAAATCAGTATACTTCAAGATCTGACTGAGCCTTTGATCCCTGCACAGTGAGATATATTAAATCTAGTTTTAATATCTCAATATTTAATAAATTCTGCAAGAAATTGAGAACAGTAATACTAGATTTCTATTGAATTTAAGAATTAACTCTATATTGATATAATCATTGATAAAGTCTTCTATTTTAAAATATAAATAATCAGTTTCTCTACATCCTGCTAATAATATTTACATTATTATATAGAAACAGACTTATATTCTCTATAATATCAAGACTCTGAAGAGAGAAAGTCTTGATAGAGAGTATACAGTAGTGTATATTTTAGCAGTTTCTATCTCATTCTTCTGCAGCAGTTAATGCAATAAAAACAAAAGATCTTAGAAATAGTTTTTTACTTCTCTTGAAAAAGTAAGATGTTTTTCTCTGAGTTTTATACAATATTCTTACAAAGAATTAAAAACAGAGTTGTTTTCTGTCATAATTTTATATTCTTTTAAGTAAGAATTACTTTTTCAGTGACTAAAGAGCTTTCATTAATACTTAATTCTCTTTTACACTCTTTATTAACTGATTTGAGTTATACACTTGTTGTGTGAGAAGAATTAAATGATTTAGAATAAAATTGAATAGTTTTAATCAATTTCTCTGTAAAAAATTGACTTATTTTTTATCAGTTTTTCTCTCAAAAACTGTCATATTATCTGATTTATTATCAATTGATATCATACTTTTTCTCACTGTATTTCAAGAAAGAGTTTGTAAAGATTTTATTGATTTATCTTAAAAATCACTTTTAGTTTATTAAATTCTCTTCAAAAATCTAATCTAGTTACTGAACTAGTGTGAAAAAAATCAGATGTTTTATACACAAAAGTCTTTCATTCTTCTTTTGAAACAGTCTGATCAACTTTTCAGTTGAAAATAGACTAATAAATCTCTCAACTGAAACAGTCTGATTAACTTTTTATTTGAAAATAGATTAATAAATGTCTCAATTGAAACAGTCTGATCAACTTTTCATTTGAAAATAGACTGATAAATCTCTCAATTGAAACAGTCTGATCAACTTTTCATTCAGTGAGTAAAATGAGTTCAAGAGTACACTCAGTTGATGTGAAAAAAGATGTTTTTCCAGATGCTGTTTCTGAGATTGAAATTCTAAAGAGAAGAAAGAAGGAAGAAATAGAGAAACAACAAGTTCTGGAAATACAGAAACTGAAAAAAGCAAGCAAAATTCTTGCAAAACAGTGTCTGAGTGAGAAGAATGAAGAAGTTCTATTAATTCTTTATGCTCAGGCTAGACAACTACAAGAAGTGATCAAGTTCAAACTTGAAATTTTAAACACAATTTAAAAAACATTGAAATCTTTCAGTACAGTCACTGACTCTTTTTCATCTTCTACTTCTTCATCTTCTTCTTCAAATCAGAAGAAAACATATGCTCAAGTAGCAGAATCTGCTGTCTTCAAACCTGCTAGTTCAAAATCTGCTCAAAATTCTGAGAAAACTGAGAAGAATATTTCTCAGATCTCTGTTCATAGAAAGAAAAAAAAAGAAATATAAAAAGAGAAGAACTTTCAAATCTTCAGAAATAGAAGACTTATTCTCAAAGTCTTAAATTAGAAGAGCTTGTAAAAAACCAAGCTAAACTCAAATCTTATTTTCAGAATTAGAAATGAAATTAACCAGCAGTTCTTTTCTCAGTTAATAACTGATATTAAAGTTCAAAAATCAGTCATAGCTTCAATTGAGCTATCTTTCTTTAAAAACTCTATTATTTTAACTACAATATCTGAATTCAGTGCAGAATTTCTCATTCAGAATGAGAATCTCTGAAAATCAGTAATAGAATCTCTACTGAATACAACAATTCTATCTAAAAGAGATGAAAAGTGAGACAAATTCATTCTTCATAATATTTCAGTTGAAATTTTTGACTGTGAGAAAGAAATGCTGCTTCTTAAAAATGAATTAGAAGAATACAATTCTATTCAACTGAGAAAAGAGTCTGTATAACTTAATTCAATTAAGTTCAGACAGAGCAGAAGAAATGCCTCTGTTCTAGTATATATAAAGACACTTGAATAATCAAGAATCTCTGAAGTAAGAGTAGCAGGTTTGAAAATGAGAGTTCATGAATACAAAGATTCAAGAATGAATCTCAAAGCTCAAACACAGTGTTCAAACTGTTAAAGATATGAACACTTTGCAATCTCTTATTTCAGAGACTCAAAATGTGCATTCTGTGCTAGAGATCATAAAACTAGTGAGTATAAATGTGAAACATGCTCAAAAAGAGGTGAAATATGTCAATATACTCTGCTTAAGTGCTTCAATTGTAAAGAAAAACATACATCTAGCTCAAAAGAATGTGTATTTACTCCAAGAACTCAGAAGAACTGAAGAAAAGATGAAGCTTAAAGTGAATCTAAAACTGAAGAGAAAAGTCAAGCTAGTAAATTCACAACTGCAAGCTTAAAAAGAAGAAACTCTCAACTATCTAGATCTTCAAACTTCAATTCTTCAGCTAAATGTAAACAGAATTTGAATTCTCAAACATCTGTTAAGATTAGAGAATTGAGAAATGACTCTGATAATAAACTAGATAGAATACAAGCAGTTGAGATTCCTGCTTTTCAAAATAGTTATAATCTACTATCTGGTGATAGTGATTAGATTCTACTATATCTTCACTCTCTTTTAGTATGAATGTACAACAAAAATAATAAAAAAAGTTTAAAAACTTTTCAAAAATCACATTTATTCAAAACAATGTGAATAGAAACTCAAATTGTATTTATTCTTATCTTCAGATTACATTTGAGTAAAAAGTTGACTTTGTGCTTCTTCAAGAATCAAACTTTGATACTAAGTAAAAGTATATCATTTCTCATTCAAGCTATTACTGCTTTCTTTCTGAAAAATCTGAGATAAAATCAAGAGTAGCAATCTATGAGAGAAAAAGATCAAGATATCAATTTAATCTGAGATTTGATATCATATCTGACTCTGACATTCTAGTGAGTGACATTTTAGATAAAGAAAATGAGTTTGATACTATTCAACTTATAAATATCTATAATAAAAAATCATTGAAAGCAAACAACAATATCTGAACAATTGATAGAGAATTTTTGAATATAACTTTCTTAAAAAACTCTATAATTGCAGAAGACTTCAATGCACATCATCTCTGATAGAACTCAGAGTGCATAAGAGCAGTAAGAGCAGATAAACTGATTGAATAAACTTTTGAGCATTCAATAGATTTAGTTAACAAGTCTGATTAACAAACATTCTTTAGAAAAGATATGAAACAGAAATCTATTATAGATCTAACTTTCATGTCACAAAATCTAATTGAAAAAAGACTTATAAACTGATTTATTGATTCAAATGAAACCTCAGGATTAGGTCATAAGATCATTCAATTTGATATTGAACTGAGTGAAAAATAAAGAAGTGAAAATCCTCTTCTCTCTAATCAGTATAACTTTGAAAAAGCTGATTGAAAAGCAGTTAAAGAAAGAGTAAAATAGCTGAAATCTAAAAGACAGAGTGAGCTCTATTGAAATCAAAGTCAAGATATATCAAATGAAATGCTTGAGAACAGAGCAAAGCTGATTACATCTATTCTTCTAATAAGTATTAGAGAAAATATTTCAAAGAAAAAGTCTTCTGAGTATTTCCAATCTTGATGAAATGAGAATATCACTTCTAAAAGAAAGCAATTAGTCACTGCTAAGAGAGATTGAAAGAATCACTTAATATCTGATGAAGAGTTCAAAGCTATTTGAAATGAATATTTTTCAGATATTAAAAAAGTTAAAACAGATTGCTGGAACAAATTTCTTGAAGATACATAAGAAAAAGAAGTTTTCAAAGCCTTTAACTATACTAAAATAAGAAGTGTAGCAAAGCTTTCAATCTTAGAATATGAATTTCAGAATGAATTGTATACAGCAAACTCTTTTAAGAAAAAATGTCAAGCTTTTATAAGAATTCTCTTTCAAAACTCATCACATTTAGAAGAGAAGAATATGTCATTTCATGAATATATTGATGAAAATAACTGGGAATGGCTGAAGCTTACATGTGATGAACTAGAGTCAGTAATATTCTCAAGTTCAATTAAAACTGCTGCAGGGCCTGATTCAATTAATCATTTAATTATTCAAAACATATATTTCTACTTGAAGAATGAATATTTTGAGCTCTTTTTCAATCTCTTAAGAAATGATTATCATTCTGAATGCTGGAGAGAAGCTACTGAAGTAATCCTTGCAAAACCTAATAGAAAGACTTCAATTCTTAAGTCATATAGAGTAATATCTCTGTTGAACTGTTTAAGAAAAATTCTAGAAAAGATAATAGCTACTAGATTATCTTTTATAAGCTCTATTAGTGATTCTCTTCTATTTAATGAATAAATGAGAGATAGAAAACAATGTTCTGTAATTGACACTGTTCTCTCAGTTATTCATGATATTCAAGTAGCAAAGTATGAAGACCTGGTCTCAACTGCAGTTTTTATTGACATAAAAGATGCATTTGATCATGTTTCAAAGTCTAAGATGATTCAAACTTTGAAGATGTTAAAACTGTCACTTTCTCTAATAAAATGAGTTGATTGTTTCATATCTAAAAGAATTATATAACTATTCTTTGTTGGAAGAAAACAAGATAAAACTGAGATAAAAATAGAAGTATCATAAGAATCTTCAATCTCACCTGTTTTATTTGCAATATACACTGCATATTTATTCAAGAATAGAGAGATGAAAATAGTGAGATCTTCAAGTTATATAGATGATATTGATCTACTCTATAGTTCAAAGACAATCAAGGAGAATTTAGAAGTGATTGAGAATGCAGCAAAGAAAATCTTTGTTAGAGTAGATATCAATCTAATTCAATTTGATATGAATAAAACTGAGTTAATTTACTTTTTTCCAGATTTAATGAGAAAGAACTAAGTCTAACTCTTCTGAATAAAGAGATTAAACCCAGTTTGAATGTCAAATGACTAGAAGTATGATTAAACTTCAAGTTGAATTTTAAATATCATATTCAATAAAGAATTATCAAGACAGAGAGACTACTGAATAGTATAATCAGACTATTAAATACTGAGAGAGATCTATCTTTTCAGACTATGAGACAGTTATACATAGTCTGTATTATCTCAGTAGCTGATTATGAAGTTCAAGTTTAATGAAACAATCAAGATAACTTCACTGAACTGTTTCAAAGTCTATAAAACAGAGCTTTAAGAAGAATTCTGGAAGCATTCAAATCATCTTCTATTAAAGTAATGAAAATTGAAGCCTCAATTCCATCTTCTGCTATTCAATTTGAAAAGGCCTGTATAAACTATGCTCTGAGAGTCATAAAGATGAGCTCAAATCATATAATCAGAGAAAGAGTCTCTTCTTCATTTCTATCAGTTAACTCAGGAAATGAACTGAATTGAAATAGATTTCTTGATTGAAATGAGAATAATACTTTAAAGAAAATGCTCTCTCAACTGTATAGACTATGTTCACTTATTAAGAATCAATTTTCTTCATTAAATGTTGAGAAAATTGATCATGAGAAGATGTTTCTCTGAAGAGAAAAGCTGAAATCTCTCATAGACTTACAAATAAGTGAACTATCAAAAGAGAGAGAATATGAACAGTATTTGAAGAAGATCTCTACAATTAATATAAAAGACTCTATTCTGATCTACTCAGATGGCTCAAAAAATGACAATTTGAATAGATTAGACATAGACATTGCTTATACTGAAGATAATATTAATTTTGTCTCAGATTTCTTAAATTTAGGCTGTGAATCTGAAGTCTTTCATGCTGAACTATTTGTAATAGTGAAAGCTTTCAAACTCATTGAAATAAAATCTCATAAAAGAGAAAATGATTTGAAAGAGGCATGAATATTCTCTGATAGTCAAGCTGCTTTAAAAAGACTTAGAAATAGTCAGATTCATAATGATCAAATGAATCTTGAACTGATTTTAAACTCTGTTTTGAAAATTCAAAAGAGAAGAATATCAAAACTGATAATTCATCTGCATTGAGTTCCTGCTCATATGAATATTCATGATAATGAATTGGCTGATTCAGCTGCAAAAAAGGGTTCAGAATTAAGCAGATGTATTTAAAAAACAGTGTCCTGGTCTTTCATAAAGAGAAAGATAAAAGAATCTTGTTTAAACAAGTGAAATGAAAGCTGGCAGAAACAAAAGAAGAGTATACATTATTTAAGATTTGAGATAAAATCAAAGTAAAAATCTTGTTCAATTAAATGTAAAAAGAAAATATTCTCATCTATAATTCAGCTGAAACTAGAACATGGTTATTTCAAATCTTATATACAAAGATTTGATGATAGATTTGATTCAACAGAGTGCTCATTCTGCAATATGAATGAAAATTCTGAGCATATTATAATGCATTGTGCATTATACAATAGTCTCAGAGTCAGATTAAAGAAAAAGTATGATTTAAATCAATTAAATATGAGGTTCTTATTCTCAACTGAGACAGGAACTAAATACTTAATAGACTTTCTATCAGAAACTAGAGCAGCTATAAGAAAATGACTGAATTCAGAAGTATCTGAATATGAAGAGGTGGAAATTGACTAGATATAGTCTGTTAAAACAGCTATACATCATCTTTTAATAATTTTGTTTTATTATAGTCTCTCTTTACTGTACTTGTTTTCTTCTGTTCTTTTCTCTATCTATTTAATATGTCTATCTTTAAGACTATGTTCTCTTTTCTTTTGTCATAATATTTTCAAATGATTTCAAACTATCAGAAGGTGTTGAAATACTGCAATTTGTAAACAGTTTTTGTATTCTGAGCTGAAATTTTCTGATTTTGCATATTTGAAATTGATAAATGTATAATAGTTGACTCTATAGATATAGGAAAAACTCTGAGAACTAAAGATTCTCAGGTAGATGTCATAGTCTCTGACTGCATACATCTATAATTGAAGAATAATAATAATAATAATAACTGTCTATAAGAGATTGAAAAAGAAGATAGTGAAGAGTCTTATATAGACTGACCGTGTGACCGTGTCTGAGACCAGGACCAGATTTTTTAATAGTCTTATTATCAATTCGACTGATCTCATTACATGGTTTTAACATTAGATAGTAGTTTCATACTGTCTCAGTGAGACTTACTGTCTACTCTTATCACATTTTTCAAATGAGATCATGATTTTCACTTCTCAATTTAAATTATTTTTATTGTGTTAAATGACTTTAAATCTCATTTGAGTGTTATCAAAAAGTGTTACTTTTTAAAAAATTAAAAATAGTCTAAAGAAAACCTTAAAATGTCTAAAAATAGT